TAAAGTTAGGTACAAATTTTATTATTCCTATTTATTTTAGATTACGGATTCTGATTATTTATAGCTGATATCTGTTACGCTCTTTTAAATTACGGATTCTGATTATTTATAGCTGATATCTGTTACGCTCTTTTAAATTACGCATTTTGATTATTTATAGCTGATATTTCTTATGCTATTTTAGATAACGCATTCTGATTATTCATAGCTGATATCGCTTGCCCTATTTTAAATAACGCTTTCTGATTATTCATAGCTGATATCGCTTGCCCAATTTTAAATTACATATTCTAATTATTCATAGTTGATATCTCTTACCTTACACTATTTTAGATTACGCATTTTGATTAGTTATAGCTAGGTATTTCTTACGCTATTTTAGATAAAACATTCTGATAATTCATAGTTGATATCGCTTGCTTTATTTTAGATTACGCATTTTGATCATTCATAGCTGATATCTCTTATGATTTTTATGGAAAACATTTTCCAGTGTTTAGCAGATTTTTTTTCTTTTTTGCTTTAATATTTATTTTTTATTTTTCTAAATTTGTTTGCATTTTACTTTAATCACCACGGCATTAATTAAAATATAGATACAAAATCCTGGAAATCGAGATACGGTATATTTAATAACTGAGGAATATTTAAAAAAAAATCTAGATGATCACTCCACCTTTTCACTACTACTACTACCAAAAAAAAATTTTTTTATTCTCCCTTTTTTTCATTTGTTTAGGAAAGCTGTGATAGTCAGAAGATATTTATTGAATCAATATTTAGCTTCGTAATATTACATATGTTTCATATTTTTTCTAAAATCCAAAATATTAAAAGTTAAAACTGTGCTAAAACCACAAGGTGATAAATGCGTCTCTTTGTCGTTTATAGCTTAGACACTTCAGACATTTTCGCTTTAATATGTTCGTTCACATTTGAAGATAATAAAAATTTGAGCAATAAACGGTATGCTTCGTTTAAAAATTTCGATATTATACATAAAGTAAAAATTAAAATATTTAATCTTTTTGTGCTTTTTAAAATTAATGTCTGGTAAACATACTGTTGAAATTCGGTGACGTGACAGTTATTAAAGAAATGTAAATAGCCAGTTTTAAAAAAGAGGTTTCGGAACTAAAAATAAAAAACGTACCTGAAATTTTTGTATTTCTTTTAAAGAAGAGAAGAGTAGATAAACATGATTTGATGTATGAAATCAAGTTTAGAGAAAAGCAAAACAGGTCTGTGTATTAAGTCTTCACATTTTTGAGACAGTTCATAAACTTTAACCAAACTTATTTTACAGCCTAGATTTTTTTTCGCCACTTTTTAAAGTTATTCATGCAGTTTGTTGTCACGCAATGGCATAATTCATTAATCATGCAAATTGTTAAATCATTCTGAAAAAAACTTATGTATTATACATTAATAATTTAGTTTACATTCTAACACGTACACTTTATGAAAACAGATGCAGTTAAGTCGAACTCGCTTACTACGATCCCTGATATAACGAGATTCCGGGTTTAACGAGAAATTTTTTAATTTAATGTTTGATTCAATGTTAAAAAGTCTGCACAGAGAAAGAAATCTGATAATCTGATCCGTACTGTGTCAACTGCACAGTACAGTAATGTTACCAGAATTTTTCTGGTAAAAAAAATTTTTTTAATTAAGCCAAAATGTAAGCCGTTCATAATATAACGGTATTCAGGAAATACTGGTTTTCAAAATTATAGTTCCTATTTCCAGACATTTAATGAAAAATACAAAACTTAAATTTAACCACATTAATGGTTTTTATACCATGCTCTAAGATATCATTATAAAATTACCGAACTTTACCTCATTTACCAAATTTTATCGTATATTATAAAATTATATTTTATTGTTAATTTTATGAAAATCATTACCAAAGCGCTTCGGTAAAAATTGCCGAACTTTTTGGTGTTCCCATAGAGCCAGAAACACAATAAATTTTAAACAATAAGTTTTACCACTGTCTGGTAGTTTTGACCATACTTTTTACTCAGTGTAGATAAGACCTTGTTACTGCGAGCATAACTCGTTTTCATCAAGAAATTTTTCCTGAACTTCTTAAAAATTAATTAAAACTGTCAGGAAAAAATTATTTATTTGGGGAAATTTATTTCTTTTTGGAAGGGCTAAACAATAAGGAGAACAATGTAATCCTCTATGATTGTGTCATAAATCAAACAATTGCAAAAACTAACAGAAGACATTGCTACAAGATCCATTGAATAGATGATCTGCATAATGTTGCTCATGTGCTTGTGAGCATGTCCCAAACTAGCTGAATTAAAAACACAGAATTTGAACGAAATAATTATATCACTCACATCCACATTCTAAGACACGGAGTTTACCCAAAATTACAAACTTTTCTGGAATTTATACGTATTAGTGATATTTTTTTGTGCCATACGTGTTTTATCCCAAACAATGGAAAAAATAGTCTGGGTTCAATCGCAAAAAAAAACCTCAAATGCTGTCTTAGAGTAAATAAAACATAAATAAATAAACTACTTTTTAATATTTTCTAGTTCCTTTTTGTGTACAGTGTGGAAAAAAATAAATAAACGGACCACCCTAAATAACTTTTGATCTAGAACTTCATGTTCTAGAACCCAATCTTAACAATTGGAGAGAGTGACCTTAAATATGCTAACAAAATAGTGCAGATGATGTTTTAAGTTACGAAATCGGACATAAAAACGTACTTTCTCTGATAAATAAACCTTTTTTTCGACAAATTCGGGTCTTTGGACCCTAAAATAGGATCCCAATTATTTGATCAGGAGAGCGGTTCAAAGCTTTGGACCCCTCAAAGTTTATTTTTGCCTATTTGGCCATATCTCGTTAACTTTTTAGGCGAATTGAAAAATTTTGCACACAGTTATAAAATTTGTTTATCCAAAGATAATTCCATGGAAAAAGTAACTTTCAGTAAATATTTATCATTTTTTTATTTTATTTAATATTAGTCAAAAGAATTTTGAATTGTTAGATTCAGTTATTGATAGATACAATTTTTCACATAATTTTAAAGAATGTAATTTTACGTGGCGAAATTCAAAATTTGAGCGAAATCGGTCGAATAATTGCTGATAAATTGAATCTCAAAAATACGACTTATTAATCAAAATCAATTTTCGAACATTAGATCAAAAGTTAATCCCTGTGGTTAATTTTTTATTTTCACACGGCACTTTGTAGCATTTTATTTTTGATAATTTTGACCCATTCTAGCTCAACAAATATCTCGATTTAACGAATGAATAATCTCGGTCCCTGCGTTTTCGTTACAAACGAGTTCCGCTGTAGTTCCCTCTTGATCAGTTTATTAAACAAATAAAAACACAAATACAATAGCAATAGAATGTCTGAGATCAATAAGTGACTATCTTAGACTTGGTATTATCTAGATGCGACTGACTGTTTAAAATTGAAGTTGTAGCAACATTGAGAAAATACCTTAACTTATAAATTTGGCTCCACTTTAAAGAACATTGCTCAAACATGGCATTCCTATAAACCAGGGCTCGAAAAAACTCAGAAATTTTACCCGTCCTCCTTTGAAACTAACCCGTAGCTTCTAAAAATTAAATAAAAATATAATTTTCTCTTATTTATTGCAAAATTTTATTTCATTTAAATTGCACAATGAATTGGTAGTTACTAGGATTACAAATACTAGGATTACATTATACAGTAATAAAAGAAATACTAGATTACTAATAGTAACCGAGTATTTCTTTTATGAAATAATTTAAATGATAAAGGTCAAGTTATCTGGAATGTCAATTTATCCGATGCGTTTTTTAAATTAATCAAATATGACGTTTGCCAGTTCCAAAATCAAGCCAATGATTTACAGAGGTTTCTGCACGGAAATCTGAAAGGGGTTTCCCATTTAGGTAGATGTTCATAATTGCGTTTAACGCTTCATTACTGAAAAACCCCTTTTCACCGCTGCAGTACTCCGAGACAGAGAAAACATCAATTCCACCATACGCAGTATGTTGCTGTATTTCTAGATTAGAGGGTCATTTTAGAATTGAGGAGCTAGACTCTTGTAAGATAATAAAAATTGAAAATGTATCACGAACATTAGCGGGAAAATGGCCGTCCACGCGGACGTCGGATTCGAGAAATTCGTTGTCCGCGGAGAATTTTTGACCGCCGAGGACGGGTGGTTTTCCGAGCCCTGATATAAACTGTAAAATTTGTGGATGAACAAGTTTCGAAAACTCTCTGAAATCTACATTTTAAAGAAACACTAGATTGTTTGAAATCTTTAACCCCTTGCACTATTTTCACGACTCTGACTTGTGATGAAATTTTTAGGCCAAACTTGAATATCATGAGTCAGGCTCGTTGTTTAATTTCATGTCAAACGTGAATACCAAGAGTCTGGCTCGTAATCGACATTTCGGGCCAAACATGAATATCACGAGCCGTACTCGTGGTCTTAATCTTGGGCTAAACAAGAACGTCTGTTTGGGCTCTTATCTTTTTTTATATGAATAGGTATTTTATATCTTGTCTCCTAATCTCTTATCCTCTGTCTGTCTCTCTTGCCTTCGGCTCTTTTCGCGAACATTCTGGTGCATAAGTGGGGCACAACTTGTTCCGAATTTCAGCATAGTGCAAGGAGTTAAATAAAATGGTTTCTAATAAAGATGGGTTTTTTAAACAGTTTTTGGATGTTTCTGAACACTGTGTTCATTCGCTATGTTCTACAGTTATAGAAGCTAATTAATTAATTAATAAAAAAAATAATCATTCAATGAAATGTTTTTTTTAATAAAAAAATCTTTTGAAATCGAATAAATATTTTCCTTTTTCTTCTTTACAGCGTCTATAGCTAGACACTAAGCTGTATTTCCATCAAAAAAATTGATTCACCTTCAGAATTAGCGAGTGTTATTTTTAGATTTTTTGCTTCGTTGTCACTTTCACGTTTATTTCTTTTCCAGGACTCCAACGATGGCTGGTGGACTTTTTTCAATCGATAAGGATTATTTCGAAAAGATCGGGAAGTACGATGAGGGGATGGACATATGGGGAGGGGAGAATCTGGAATTGTCCTTCAGGGTAAGACCTTTCCTTTCCTTTTTTTCATCGTCAGAACTCATATTTTTCTTACTGACTTTTCTGGAAGCAATAAGGATGTTATATCAGAATATATGGATGAGGTGTCATATCCTTTGCCTCATTTGTAAGCTTGTCGCAGAAAGAACATCTCTGACAAATTCTGGAAAGAACGTAATCTCATATGACATCAACGTCAAAAAGAAAATTATTTCTTATTTTAACAGGTTAACTATTGCTTAGTAGGAAATGGTTGTATGTGACATTTTAAAGAACTTGTCATCTACAGCAGAAAACTTTTTATGAAACACCTCTAATTAAAAACAGTGTCTAATTAATATTTTCTAATTAAAAAGGGTAATGACCCGGTAAACAGAAATTAATTAGACGTCCAGTTGACCTCAACATATTTTTAAACTCTAAATTCTGCACTTTTTCAAAATGTCAGTTTTTCATTGTTCTTTTCCAATGCTGAACTAGATCAGTAACTTAAACTTTAACGCATCAGGCTTTTCCAGGATCTTAAATTCCAGGATTACACAAGCACTGTTTTTCCTCTAAATTAAGAAGTCTTCTATCTAAACAACGGTTGAAGATATCCAGCTACACTCATCGAATTGTTCTAGCTTAAAAAACGTTTTATGGAAGACAAATTTTGGATTTTTCAAATATTTTAAAATACAAATGTCAAAACTTTATTATAAAGTCTTATCGCGTAAATTAAGTGATCAAAATTATTTTTTGCAAATACAAAAAGACGATTTTATTAACATTAAAAATAGGAGACAGTTGAAGAAACATTTTATTAATTTGCCTTTAATTAAAATTCAAAAAATATTTTGCATAAAAAAAATGTTGGACCTGATAAATTGTTTAAATATTTTAAAAGAATATGTCTAAATCAAAAAACCAACATGTTTCTAATTCCATAAATTGTTTAACAGGACAGAATTATGGACTTAAGCGTAGCAGACAGCTTCGATTGTTGAGTACATAGAGGGCGTTACTTACCAGAAGAAGAAAAAAACACTGTTTTGTGATTGTTTATTCTTGTATATTGAGATAGTCTTATATACGACAATCTTATATACAACAGTTAAGTTCATCCTTCGTTTTCCAAAATAATTCGCATCCTCTGGTACCTCTACAGTTGAAATGTTGCGTCAGATTTAATTGAGGTTGCGTGCAAGCCAATATTTAAACGGTTACAATCTAGTGCAGCCTTGGCTCTCCAGGTTCGACAATTTATTTAGTCATCATCAGCATTGGCACGACAGCCCTTTGTGAGCCTGGGCCTTCCTCAGAAGCTTTTCCCATTCTGCCCTTCTCCCAGCAATAGTTTTCCAGTTCTTTACTTTTAGGATGGCAAAATCCTCATCTACACAGTCCTTCCATCTCTTTTTGGGCCTTCCTCTTGGCCTTTTATTGGAGGGGGTTGCATTAAAGACTCTCAATGCTGTTCGTTCTGGGCTCATTCTCATTACATGCCCGGCCCATCTCATTCTACTTAATTTAATAGATTTAATGATATCATCGCCATCAAAGATCCTATATATTTCAAAATTATATCTTTTCCTCCAGTTGTCGTTATCGAGTATAGGGCCAAAGATGGTTCGTAGTATTGAAATTTATTTTTGTGAATTATGGTTGAATCATACTCAAAACATTTTGCTTGTAAACTCTGAAAACAATGTTTTGAGTATCAATATTTCTAAAATAAGAGTAAAAGTTCTATAAGTATACTTTTAACTGTTTTTTTTTTAAATTAATTTTGTGAAAGCGTTTTAACTCTTAAAATATGGAAAAGATGAAAAACGTTTGAACCAAACACTGCCATCTGCTTTAAACGATTTTTAGGATCAGAATATACAGTTTGATTCATTATAGTGTTTACTAAATTGGGTAAGCGCAAAGATTGAGAACTACCTAGCAACCAATACCCGGAAATATGGTTAGCATTGGAACGGATATTTTTATTTAACCAAATTACTATCATTTCATGCTAATTACTGTATTATAGTAATAGCAGTTATATTGTGCGTTACATTTTGTTTTGTTACACAAAAACTATAAGACTTATACACTTGAAATTAAGAAGGTGTGTAAAACAATGTACCGGGAGTACAATGAAATAAATTGACGTTTTAAAATTAGTTCAAGAATTAACCGTTATATGCAACATGCAATTATGGTAATATTTTAAAACCCTAACGAGGTATCACTACAGTTCTGTAAGTACATTGCCTTGGTCTTAGTAAGTCGGTGGTTTAGTTTAGATGACGTATTCATATTTCGTTTATCCAATGACTTTCAGCAATCGGTACTAAGGAAACACTCACTGACTAATGCATTTTTTGTACTTAATCTAATTTTTTCTAGCTTTTTAACTGATTTTCAATGTTAGAACAATTTGATTTTTAAAAAAAAAAGAAATAGAAAATATCTAAAATTACCATTCCATTTGCAACATCTAGCGCCAATCTTAAATATTTATTTTCCTTCTGCATTTCCGATGTGGAATGTTTCACTGCATTTATAGAATCCTAGCTCTACTTTAATGGAATGTTCAATGATTCTTAATTGCACGTTTTTATTTCTATACTGTTTTGATATTTTTCTGGTGGTTTTTTTCCCTTTTGTTTCCCAATTAGAAGGTTTTTCCCCGGCAATCTATGACGTATGCCATTGTTTGGTTCCTTCAAATTTAAAGTTGGATTCAATGTCAACTGGCATCGTTATAAGCAGTTCCAGCCTTCTTTCTTTTGTGAATCACTTGGGACATGCAAATAATGCACAAGATAACAGAATGATCCCAGCCAGCCCAATCAATATGAATACTGCCACTTTATTCCCGTTATCAGATCCTGTCCTTGGTGGTATTGCATTATTCAACAATTCTCTCCTTCGCCTCGACTCATCATTGCATTTGGAAAGCTCTTTTCTCTGAGATCTAGATCTACCTTCTCTTGATTACTCCTTCTGACCTGCATCGGCTTCATCACCACCTGTTGATAAGTTTGTTGAATTATTCATATGATTTCTTACGGTATCTTTTCTTGAAGCCGATATCTTCAAAGTTATTTTCTAAAACAGCGTCTCTCTTCAACATTGTCGCTGCTTTTGGGACTTCTTCTTTGGGATTGTTCAGATACTCACTGATACAATTTATACAAAGTTCGTAACAATCTTAAATTCCAGGAAACTTATCTTGAAGTAAATAACAGGTGTTTAGAGGTGGATATTTTTCTGATTAGATTTATATATTTTGGATTCTGAAATATATATTCGATTTGCCGGATCCTGTTGGTTTGACCGTTTAGGCATAAAACACCCTCAAAAATGAGGGAATGGGTAACTCAGAAACATGTCCTTCTTTCAAAAATGAGAAAATTGGTAACTCAGAAAAATGTCCATGGTTCAAAAATGAGAAAATTTGTAGCTCAGAAACATGTCCTTCTTTCAAAAATGAGAAAAATGGTAACTCAGAAACATGTCCATTGCTCAAAAATGAGAAAATTGGTAACTCAGAAACATGTCCTTCTTTCAAAAATGAGAAAGTTGGTAACTCGGAAGTATTTTATTTCTCCAAATTTGAATTTGAAAATTTGAATCGAAATTTGAAAATTATGTCCTGCCTTTATAAAAAAATTTTTAAAAAAACAGCGCATTGTGATAACGCTTTATATGTAAGCTAGTTTAATGCATTTGACAAATTTGAACTAAAAATTTGCAAAAGAACTGAGTATAATTTAATTAAGATTACGTGCCAGAAATGTAAATAAAAATTCCTGTTTTGAAGCATTACTTTAAAAAATGTTAACTTAAGTAACGAAATTAAAATTTAAAAAAATATTTTTTTCATTTATAAGTATCGCCTTTATAATATCCTTAGTTTTTAAAAACAAGTTAGAAAAAATTCATCCAAAATTTAGTTTCTCACATTACATGCTAACCACTTCCATAAAGCATAACAGATGGATGACTCGAAAATAACCGATTATTTCGAAAAATAGGGAAGAATATATTTGTGCGATGTTATTCCAGCCAAATTTCAAAACTTGTTTGAAAGTTCCTGAAAAGGTTCTGGCTGGAAAAAAAACTAAAAATCATAGCTTTCTGCTACATGTCACAGCATTCCAGCAGAAATATTTGCACTGTTATCTATAATTTTGTCCTCAGATTGCCCCCCACGTTGTTGTTGGAAATGATGGTTTTTGCAAGCATTGTTTTTCTCGGCAGTATCGACAAAAGAAGCTATACAACTTTTTCGCTTTTCTTTTATTTATTTTTCACGTCGTTGATCATTATAGGGACTCCTGGAAGGTGATTTTTTATTTTAAAAAAATATCAAGTGGTAGTAAAAGTATTCAGGGGTGTGATTCTTTCGCGGATTCTCGGATTTTTCCATTTTTCCCGCTACTTTCCGCGGAATTTTTTTTTTTTTTTTGCACAAGTTAAAATATTTTATGAGGAATTTAACTTTCCGCGAAGCAAAAGTATTGAAGTCCTTTATCCTCCCTCAGAAATTTCTCTAAAAATAATTTCCTTGGGATAACACTAGTTGGCCTTTATGCAGGGATGTGATTTTCCACATTTTAGCTGATTTCATCTTTTTTTCGCTTTTGTCTCTCAAGACTTTCAGCCATTTTATCAAAAACTTCGATTCTCTAAAAGTTTCGTTTTTTTTTTTAAATAAATATCCCGCTTTTTTTTTTTTTTTTTTGAAAATTTGTAAATTTTTATTTATTGTGTCTAAATAAAAACAATACAAACAAGCCTTTTAGAAGTCCCAAGTCCAGACTCTGAAAATATCTCGATTCTGATTCACGCGGTTTTAATATCAATAATCGATTATCGTATTTACCTGATTTAAAAGTTGCTCATTACGATTCTTATTTACGCTATTTAAATATCATACATTATGATTCTTATTTACGAGATTTCAAAATCCAATATCGCGATTTGTATTTACGCGCTTTTAAAACCCTATGTAGCGATTCGTATTCACGCGAGCTTAAAATCCTATGTCGTGACTCGTTTTTGCGGTTGTAATATCAAACATCGATTTTCGTATTTATACGTGCTTTAAACATTAGACACTGGGATTCGTATTCACACGATTTAAAAGTTATGCCTTGTGATTCGTATTTACGTGATCTAAAAACTAAGCATCATGATTTGTATTTTCGCATTTTTTAAATTCGATATAGTTTCATATTCACGTTATTTAAAAGCCTCATATCATGATTCATATTCTCTCAATTTAAAATCATGCATGTGATTCATATATTCATACAACTTTAAAATTAATCATCGGGATTTATAATCACACGGTTTACAAGTTCAAAAATCGCACTTTGTTTGTCAAATTTTTGTTTATATATATATTCTTGGATTTCCTCTTTTTTACTTTCTGACTACTCTCATCCCTGGCTTTGGACGTAATGCAGCAAACTTACTCTTGCCAATCTTAATATCGGGATGATCATTACAGAATAAAGAGAATGTCTCCAAAACAGAATTGTACAAATGCCGAATTTGTTCTTTTATTTTACCATCACTATTTCTTACTGTTACTACATTTTTCATTCCTGGAGCTTGTCGACTGATATCATCTCTTATATAAAAGTTTTTAACTATCTGAAGAGTTTCACTGCTCATAGGATTTTTTCCAATATAATTCTGTATTACAACATTGCGTTCTTGACTCGGGACAATATTTTTCATAAGCTGTTTCACTACTGCCTGCTTTTTACGTGGGGACTTTGGTAATGCCCGTTTGGCACGGGCAACTGCTTTTCCCAATGAACAAGGTGATTTATATGGGTATTGTTGTGATTTAAATGACCTTTCCTTTTTGTTGAATCTTGATTTTGCAACACTTTCTCTGGATCTCTTTCTTTGTTGTCTTCTCACCTTTTCTCTTTCCACTGGAGTCATTTGATCA